AAATGACCCAAAGACCATGAAAACTCACTATTGATGCCAATCATCTATTTTTCTCTCTTTTTTTAAAATTAAAGCATCATAATTAAACAACGGAAACGAATCTTGGAAGTGTCGGGGTCTCATTTCTCTGGAGATAAGATTTCGTAAAAGGTGTTGCGATGTTTGGAAAACTTGATGAAGTTTCAGGAAAAGCGTCACGTTTTCCAGGCGTGTCACTCATGAACAGTTGATCGCGGCCCAAAACCAGCAACAAATAAATAAATGAATGAATTGCGCGAGTTGGAAGGTATGCAAAAACAGAACATGACGAGAAGGTTGTTGACTATTGGAGGGAAATTTTGCTCAATTTCGACCAATACATTGCAAGCAGTCGTTTGTGTCTAGCCCAGCGAAATGAACCTGGCAGAACTAAATCCCAACATCATCTCACCTCGTGAAATTATTTTGCACAGATTCCGTGTTCTGCGTGCAATTCTGAAAGCTGTTCGTTAATCACACTTTTTTCGAAACATATTGGTGTGATATGTTGTTTTTCGGATTCGCTGAACTCTCCTGTCATGGCGTCATTAAATTTGGAAGCAGGCCGAAATTATTTATTTTGAATTATCCACCGAGACCACGTTATGGAGGAAATCTCTATGAAGTGTTGACAAAAATCTTTATAGAAAATTTCAAAACATTTACATAAAAATATATAATGAATTCGGCATTCTCGGCGGAGTCCCAATAAAAACACAGCGGAATTTGGCACTTCGACTCTTTTTTTATGAATTTGTATTTTTTATAAACCAGTATTGCGATGCATTAATTCAAGGAGATGTCCGAGGGAACATTATTCCAAAATTTTAAATGTCAATGAAGTTTCAAATCGTTATACGGAAATATTTTTCTTAAAATGATTGTACTGTACATTCGCCCGAATGACCTGAAATCGTAACCTGAGGGATTCTCGTGGATTTTGAGACCACGACATGGAGAAAATCGCTGCGAAATGCTGACAAATATCTTTACATGAAAAGTTCATCCGCGTGAAAAGATTTCCGTTAAAAAATATAATGAATCCGGCATTTTCAGGGGAATCCCATTAAAAATGACAGCGGAATTTGGCATTATGGCTCTTTTTTTCTGAAGTTGTACATACGTATTAATCAGTATTGCGGTGCATTAACTCGAGGATATGCCTGAGGAAAAATTATTCCTAAATTTTAAATGGCAATCAAATTTCAAATTGTCTCAATATTCTTTTTTTTTCATAAAATGATGGTGCATTTGCCTGAATGGCCTGAAATCGCAATCTGAGGGTTTCTCGTGGTATTTCACATTTTCCCACGAATTTTCGAGTTGATTTGAAGGATCACCGTAACCCATCATCCCACCCCGGGCCAGGAAAAGGACGAAACGGGGTATGGTACTGCGCAGTACTGTTGTTTGCTATAGTGAGAACCCTCTGCGTCCCATCCCCGTCCTGTTCCCGCCACCTGTTGGAAGGCAGCCGGATAATCGAAGCCGAAAAGCGAGTTTATTTAAAGCGACGGGCCGGCGCAACCCGCAGCCGTTATTCATGTGCCTGGCCAGGACGCACGCTTCCGATAACCCGGAAGATAGATAGAGGGGCCGAGGGGTTGCCGACTGGGAGTTGACGCGGAGGTTGGACCTTGTGGCGACGTCCGTTGGGACTCGGGCCTGGGCGAGTTACTCGGACTTTATATATTGTCCGTGCATGATAATGCGAACCTTGAGTTTGATGGAGGCTGATCACATGCTAGTCGGTCGAGTGCGTGTCCTTTCTTGCCTCGTTCAATCTGGGGCGCTGTTGCTGAATTCCGCACGCATGAACGCCTCGCATCGTTACCAGGCGCTCGGCTCTCCCAATCGATCACCTCTCTTTCTCTCTCTCTCATCCCCCTTTTCTTTCTCTCTTTTTATATATATATATATATCTCTCTCTCTCTCTTTGGTCATCTCGATTTTCTTATAAGAACAGAACTCGTGCCGAGAATTTATTTAAGCAGCGCTGGGTTCATCAGTCCGTGAGACTCGGCGATTAGCGAATCAAAACAAAGTTCTTGTGAAATCGACACGTCTGCCAGGAGCGAAGGAAAGGGCCACCCCCTGGATATCTCCCCGTCAGGTTTCTCATTGAGCCTCTTTTTTTCTTTAAAAATAAAAAAAGGAAAATATTAATTTGGGAGATTTATGGGATGAAATTTCGCACGATACGGCCTGACAATTCGCATATAGGAGATGTTATTTGATTCGGAATTGGTCGTGCCGATCCTTCATTGTGTATCATGATATTATTCATGAATTAAGTGTCGTTCGAGAAAAAGAAAACGGATCGGTATTCAATTTTCGATGCGTTCAGGGTCATTCCTTGAACCGTTCGAAAAATGCAATAATCAAAGAATCTGTATTTATTTTTGGTACGCATTTTACAGGCAAGATACGGGTTACGCAATTTTTGTTGGAACCCCTGATTTTTTTTCATTAATTTCTGTGACAGAGCATCAATACCAGGCGCTTAGTGGCATTATTTTCAGGGCATATCCTTGGGTATAGCTGACACACAGGTAGACTGTGTACGGATATGTCTCCACGATTTTCTAAAAAAAAATTCTGGTTCCGCGGTAGTATTTTTTTGAATCCATGAGCAGCTTCTAAACAGCAGTACAGTCTCGATCTGAAATTTTTTTGTTTGTCAAAAATGTTATCCTGGTCCAGCTTGAGTAGCGCTTGCTAATTTTGCAGGCCATAATTCTCGGTCCTCTCTCACATCTCTCATGCGCTCCAAGTACCGATGCATTGTAATTTTGTCATTTGTTCTTTAATGTCAAAACAGTTTTGCTTCAATTTCTCTGGAGCAGCAGCTGTGAAGCCCCTGGGAAGTCTGCACAGAGCCCTCAGGGCTCCGTGGAGTACCAGTTGGGAACCACTGCCCGAGTGAATGCTGGCTTGGAACTGAAAATCAGAAACCCGTGGGTTTATCTGGGGCACCCACTTTTTTGCGTATGCGTGAATTAAAACGTCGACCGGCGCGCAAATGTATGCGGAGCATACCGAAAAAAAAATAAATCCTGAGGGATTCGCTCCAAGACAAAGCCACTGTGCAACACCAGAAGAGCTCAGGAAATGAAAAAAAGGGTCAATGAGTTCCGGTTTCCGTGACCAGGTAGTCAGACCTGTGTGTTCGACTGGTTTTTATACTTTTATTGAAAAAATTAGTTGAACGTAGCGAAATTCATTTTCAATTGCTTGAGTAAGATGTGACCAGATCAGAATTCCACAGTCCCTCATCCATAATTTTCAACTTGAAAATAAATCCGCGGATTTGTTTTGCAAAACATTCGACGTCCATCGTGATGATGAAAGCAAACCATTGCATCGAATTCTCCAGCAATGCACAGTAATATAATATTTGTCACTCATGGTCATGGTTTATCAAAACTAAAAAAAAAAGTACGCAAGGAAAATAAATTATGATGTGTGTTCATTCGAAAAATACAGTATTATTAAGATTGCTTTGATATTGCACCATATGCAAACAATCAAGGCAGAAGTAATTTATTGTTCAACCAACTGTTGTTTTATAATTATTTATGAGAAACCGAAACATGGACTCGCATCAAGACAATATTTTTCAAACCTACCCCTTTTGCAGCTTTTGTGAATAAAACGTCTGAAAACTCAACTTAACCTAACACATCAATAAAGGGGACAAATATTTTTTTCTCATTTTTTTCACGTCACAAGCAAAGTGCTTTAATAAACCCCCAGAAACGTTTGAAGGGTGTTACAGAAGCCTCGCAGCAACGTATAGCTGATGCTCCATATTAGTCATGACGATGCTATTAATTTAATAAGCAGAAATAATTTACTTATCAACCAGCTTATATTGTAAAATTATTTATGAGAAACCAAACATAGACTCGTATCCCGACTTCTTATTTTTCAAACCTTTTTCTTGCATCTTCTGTAAAAAAAAAAAACACGTCTAAAAACTGAACCAAATATCCCCGAAGTGGACGATTATTTTTTGTTTTTCAAGACACAAGCGAAGTGCTTCAATAAACCCCCAGAAACGTTTAAGGGTGTTCCAGAAACCCTCACAGCCTCGTGGCTGATACACCATGGTGATGATGCCATTAACTTAATGAGCAGAAGTAATTTACTGATCAACCAGCAACTGTTTTGAAATGAGTTATGAGAAATCAAAGCATAGACTCGTATCCCAACTTCTTATTTTTCAAATCTTTCTCTCGCATCTTTTGTAAATAAAGGAAACGTCTGAAAGCTGAACCAAATATCCCCGAAGTGGACGATTATTATTATTTTTTTTCAAGACACAAGCGAAGTGCTTTAATAAACCCCCAGAAACGTTCGAAGGGTGTTCCAGAAACCCTCACAGCAACGTGGCTGATACACCGTGGTCATGATACCATTAATTTTTTCCACACTACACGGCGAAATCATCACGTGTGAACGGGCTTCACGGAGAAACTTAAGTGAAGCCTTCGGCATCTAAGTGCACGCACCAGTCGATGCAACCTTGAAGAACTGATTGCGTACATCTGAAGCAACCAGAAACGAGCAGATAAGAGAAGAGCACAAGAAAGGTTGTTCTTTCAACAACCACGTATTCGTCTGCTCTCGTGAAACGCAACGCGTTAGTCCCGGAATAAATTCAGATCGAATCGTAACTTTTATGCTTACACGGTTTGCTCAAGCTTGCATCCGATGTTTCCGAGAATACCTGACATTCTGATGCACGACGAAATGGATTTTATGAGGTCGTGAAATCGGTTGGAAATCCGAATCATCGCCGTTTTGAATGAGGAAGGATCGCCTTTAAAGAGCAAATAATAAGAAACATACAAACATTGCGTGAGATCCTTTTTCCCTCCATCCACAATTACTGAACAACTAAAAAAAATCACGTACTTTATTTTATTTGACCTTAAAATTGCAGATCGTATTGCTGTGGTACTGTTCTTGTCTACAGAATGAATTATCCCACGTGGAGTCGAACTGAAGTCTCTTTTCTTCTGATGGCGATATGCAAGAAAAAAAAATCAGGGAATGTCACTTTGAACAAAGAATTTCATGTGATTGAATGCGTCTGATTTTATTCATTCTTCTACTTTCAGGGTACTCCGGTTGAAGGCGACACCAGCTTCATGAGTGAGTTGCGTTTTGCATACGTTGCCATTTATTAGCTTGATTCCCTTATAGTAATATGCATTTTCTGAAGTCTTGCAAGAAAGGGACTAGAAAACGAGGACGTGCGAGAAACCGATTTACCTGCATAAATTTGAATCGTGATACGTTGAAGCGCGTATATTAGGGGTCAATTAGCTATGCGCCGATTGATTGAATGCGAAAATAAAATATTGAGAGAAAACGAAAAATGCTTGGTTTCCAGAGTAAAAATTGAAAGACAAAACGAGAGCCCGTGACAGTGCTGCAAGAACACGTCACTGTTGACAGCATTGCATTAATTCAACTTGAACCTTCTGTATTCAATTCATCAAGCTCTGTCTTTCTCATGGCTTGATACCTTAGAACCTGAGGTGTCTCTATCGAAGAATGAATTCCTTATCATACGATGTATAGCGATGAATAATGACCCACAGGGAGGTGTGTCTTTCGGAAAGTTGCGAAGTCACACAAAGTTCTGTTCTTCGGTGCACGTTTACTCGAGCTTGAAAACCTTGCCCTGTTGAACTAATCTCACCCAGCTTTCATGTTTGATGAATAGTCCTCGAGTATCTCCTTAGGTTAGTGGGAAATAAATGAAATCCGTCGCCTGTACTTGGGTGCAGACATGACATAACGCCTCAACAACCTTATTCACGTTCGGGTTCCGCGGTAACCAATACAAATTCATCTTCGTGTACGTATTTGATGAAGCGTGCAGGGAGGGGGAAGTTCTGGCATTCTGAAACGGTTCCTTGAAAACTTACTTTGAATGCCTGCTTTGATTGATGAATTTTCGGGGCTTGGTTGCTTTCGGACTTCAAAAGCTTTAAAATTTCACCAGTTAATGATTAGGTGCTCTCGAAAACCCGCATCTCTGAGGAATCCTTGCAAAAAGAAGCCTCGTCCAGTGTATTTACATTACAGTACTCCATCTACTCGGAAGATGGTTTTATTTTTTTTAGAAAAAACAAAAATTCAACGTAAATATCTAAACGTTGAACTGAACTTTGAAAGTATTCGAACGCTACACTAAAAATATTACTCCATCGGAATCCTAAACCTTGTGCAGTACAATGCTCAAATGATACTGTATTTATATAAAATAAAAAAAAAACAATTCAACTTATATCCCCAATCTTTAAATTTAACTTGAGGAATATTCAAATGGTACACAGAAAAGATTTCTCCACTGTAATTCCAAACCTTGCACAATACAGTATTCAGACTCGGAAGGCGACTTTTTTATAAAAACAAAACAGAAATTCAAAGTTAATATCAACATTTTAAAATGAACTTTGGAAATACTCAAACGCTACACTGACACTCCATCGAAATTTCAAACCTTTTACAGAATTTAGATCTTAGTATTATACTGTACAAGGTTCGAAGTGCGGTTATACAGTAGATATTTTTTTGGGTGCTAAATAAGGCTTTCGATCGTATGCATTATTTAATAAAACATAAAAACCAACTGCAACCGCACTTCGATTGGATCATACGACTAAAATATTCGCAAAATTAAAAATATTAGCAAATAAATATCATGCTGGTGGGATTCTCAACAGCTGGAGCAACATTCCTCGGATTTATTTTGTCACACACTTCCCCGAAATTAATTTCGAAATTATCTTTCCTTGGGGTTAAATTATTTATTACTTAACCTCGCATTCCTAATCGTATCTGAAATCTTATCTCAAAAATGACTCCCCATTTTTGGTCCGTTCGTAGTTTCTTATACTTTTTTATATATAGACTAGGAAGGTGACGTTTTCATAAATGACCAATATTATAAAAACGTTTTTGGTATCAATTTAGGTAATATTCCGGCTATTTATCTGCTTGGACTTGCATGAAATGAATATTTTAAAATCAAATGTTTGAAGCGATTTGAGTTACAGTAACTTATTCACGTATGCTCAAGTTAACTGTCCTCATATAAGCTTGCATTTCACATGGGGAAAACATTACAAAACCCCGAAATTAGTCACGATTCACCGCCTTCGACTGCCCGCGTTTTTTGTAATCTTCTGTGAATAATTCGTGATGAACGCAAAGCAGGTTTTTGACAGTTTGAAGGCTGATTGTGAGGAGAACTTAAAAATTTAGTGTAGTACAGTTAATCACAGTATTCGCGGGACGAACCCTCGAATTCAAGCAGAATTGATCAAACCATTAAATTTACAGTGTTTTTACAGTACTTCAGGATAATTTCGATGGGCCTGAGTGAAACTGCCCGATTTCAATCAATTTATATGCTTATGATTATCTATAAAAAATCATTTTCTCGAGAATTTTTAATATTTTTCCTGCAATGCTGAACCACTGAATGCGCCGCCAGAATGCGCAAAACTTCGAAACTTTCTCAGCTTCAGAATTGAATGTTTTTTCATAGTCCTTTGTTGAAAAATTTCAGTTGAAACGCGGTCTATTGGTAACCCAAGAGATGAATACCGATTGTATATTTTGCAGGATATGTGCAGTACTTCGCGTGATTTCGATGGCCCTGAGTGAAACTGCGCGATTTTAACTAATGGATATGCCCGCAGGAATCTTCGAAAAGAAAAGAAATTCTGTCGAGAATTTTTTTTCATTTTCCTTGCAATAATGCTGAAAAACTAAACTCGGCGAGTAAATCATAGAACTGAGTCCGCCAAAATGTGCAAGACTTCGAAACTTTCCCAACTTGAATCTTAAAAGTTTTTTTCACCGTCCTTTCTTGAAAAATTTCAGTCGAAACGCGCTCTTTCGACAACCCCAAAGATGAATCCCGATTTTACCTTTTTGGTGTGCTTGTGTGTACACCTGTGTCGTCCTCTTTTTCGCAGGTTGGGATCGAGATTCAGACAGCAAAGAGATCACCCTTTCTGGTGTTGTGAACCCGACTGACGTGTTCTGTTCAGTGCCTGGACGTCTTTCCCTGCTGTCGTCGACCTCGAAGTATAAAGTCACTGTTGGAGAGGTACAACGACGACTGGCGCCTCCCGAATGCCTCAATGCCTCGTTGCTTGGCGGAGTGCTTCGCAGGTATTTTTCCTTCCGCAATTCATAATTATCGCTGCTTGTCGAAGTGGTGGATTCAAGGTGGTACGTGCACCACTGCTGGTTGGTCTTGAGGTACTTCTTAGGTGGTACGCGGAATCGTTAAGTGAAAATCTATCCCGAGGAATTAGAATTGATCGAGTGCTATTCAGAATCTATGCGGGATGTCTCGGGAAAATAAAACATTGGGAGGCTGTGCGAGGGGTCTAAAAATTTTTTTTGAATATTAATTGAAACGGCGTGAAAAAAACATTCTTTGGCACAAGCGAAAAATGCAGCCCTCCTGAACATATTTTTCAGATTTTTTTTTGCGGAAGTCCGGCAGCTTTCTGCGCTTCACTCAAAGGATGAGGCTCCCATCTCGCAGATTTTTTTTTTACGTATACCTCTGCTTTCCCTTCAGAATTTTTGAAATTGATATGGCAATCATTCCAAGAGCTGCCGCTATTTAGTGGCGGAATTCCCTTGGAAGACCTGGAGTTTGAAAAATGTCTATCATAACTTGCAGAAAATGCAATCAACTATCCATTGAAATGTTTGAAACCAAAATTTTGGTTTTTTTTTGTCTTCCAAGAGGATCATTCAGTTTTCTCCAACAACAATAAAACAATCTGAACATGCCTGGAAAAAAAGATACAATTGATTATAAGCAGGTCTAATGTGAAACAATTTTTTCCATTCTTTAATTCTGAAAATCTCGTTATAAAAATGTATTCAGAATTGAAAATTTTTCTGTGGTCCCCAAAAATTTGTTGCATGCACATGTGGAAAATATTTCGTTTGAGCAATAGAAATAAACGTTGAGACATTATTCGGTGAAGTGCGTTGAATTTTATATCCGGTGGCTTTCACGGATACGTGGAAAATGTAAGGCTAACAGCTGTTGCAGTCAGGTGGGCAATAATCAGCTCCTCGATCAGCCCGGGAAATTTTTTTGCTGCGGTTCTGCGTCTTTTTTTTTCTCCTCCAAACCCCTCAATTTATGGAAAAGTCAATTTTAACAGTACGAGTATACGGGAACATTTTTCGACTTTCGACGATTAGGAATTTTTGGGATCCACGTTGAAAGTGGCTGAGCGAAGTGCTGGGCGAAAAAATGAACATGCGGAATTTCCGAGGGATGGTCGGTAAGTTTTGAGATTCGTGCCCTTGATGTTTTTGGCCTCTTGACATCCCTTGGGATGATCAACATTTTCTTTTAGTATTCATCAAAAAATTATTGACGTGAAAATAATATTTCGTTCGCTCAGCTTGAATAAGGAAGTTTTTACCTGCATTTACTGGAGTACCCCGAGCACCATTTTCCAAAAATTGAGACTTAAAAATAGGCTCCAAACCATAATCGAGTATAAAGCTCGTAAAAATTTTGTGAGCTTCACATTTGGGAAACATAAAAAATAAAACAATAGTAAAATATTCAATTTTACTCGAGTATACTAAATGTCCTCAGTCAAGGCGCGTACTTTGAATCTTCAGCTGAAGATTTGAATATGAGCCTTTCTTGACTGAGGCATGCACCCCATTTTGACTGATTCAATATACTGTAATTTATTTATTCATTCAATATAAGAATCAATACAATTTTTAATTTTTACTCAAATTTAGCCTGAATTCAATGGGTTTTCAATCGAAATATTTTTCTCGAGTGATGCTTTTTTAAATGGGTCCAGCATTTTATCTGTGGCTTGAGATGCAGAAAATTTCTTGTACGTCTCCCGAAGTGCGACATTGAATAAGGTTTTCCAAGAGCAGGTGCGCAAAAGCATTAGATTTATCATAACTCATCCAAATTTTAAATAGCAATAGCATTGAAGTGATAATGAACGAGTGAGTCATGCGAATGACGGTATTCTTCTGAATTTCAAAATCACCCCTTTCCAAATTATTCTAATTTATCTGAAAAGCTTGCAGACCATCCCTCTCAACTCGTATCTCTGACTTTAAATTTGGAAAAGTTTTACTGTAGTATGTGTTCCCATGCCCTACATTTAATAAGGTTCTCCAAGAGCAAGTGTCCAAATGCATTGGATTTAAAATGATTCAATTCATCGAAATTTCAATGAGCTGTACTAAATTGATATTTAACGAGTGCATAATGCGAATGACGGTACTTTTTAGGGTTGAAAAATCGCCCCCTCCCAATTTATTCTAATTGATCCAAAAAGCTAGCGAATCATCTCTATGTTTTGGATCTGTTATTTGAATTGCCGACAGTTCGCAGTTTTAGTCCCTAGACTGAATAAAGAACCTTCCGAGCGCAGGTTTGCAAATTCGTGGGATTTATCATGAAACAATTCATCCAAAATTCAATGTGCAGTACTGAAGTAATATTGAACGATTGGAGGATGTGAATGGTGGTATTTTTCAGGATTGAAAAATCGCCCCCCTCCCGAATTATTCTCATTGATCGGAAAAAAGCTTGCGAATCATTCCTCCATACCTTGGATCTTTGACTTCAATAGCTGAAATTTTATCGTTTGTCGCCCTACACACTACACTGAATGAGGTTCCCCAACAGGAGGGGGTGCAAATGCATTGGATTTATCATGAAACACTTTATCCAAATATCAACGTGCAGTACTGAAGGGATATATTGAACGAGTGCTGGGCGATGCGAATGCCGGCACAGTATTTATTTCCAGGTTTGAAAAATCGCCCCTCTCCCAAATTATTCTAATTGATCTGGAAAAGCTTGCGGACCATCCCTCGTACCTCGGATCTGTGACTTTAAATGCAGCCCGGGGCCCTAGGCACTCGAGGGCCTAGAACGGATCCGGATGAATGAACAAAATGGTGCGTGTCAAGCAGCCTGAATCAATCGCTCGGTGGCCCTGAGCAGGTCGGTCTTCGAGCATTCATTTGCACTTGATTAATTATGCGGAGGCTGTACGTGCGTGCGTTTTCTGCTTCGCCTCCATTTCTTCCGGCCTCACCTCGCTCGGGCATCAGAAAACGGTAGGCATAAATAGCCTATTCATCCCGGCTTAGGATTCGAGTTCTACTCGGGGTTTTACACGATATTTTCTCAATCGCGAGGAATCCGGCCTCGGCTTTTGCAGCGTGTCGAACGTGCGTCTGCCCTGCCCTGAACCAAATGAAAAAAAAATAAAAAATACTAGTAATTACCCAGACGCGAATCGTTTATGAATTTTTGCTTGAATCTTCCTCGGGGATTTTGCTCTTCTTCAAACTCTTCGAGTGTGTCATACATGCATTTTTTTAAATAAATATGCTCGTCAATGCTTGTGGTGTAATTTCTGCAGTTTAAATATACTGGTTGCTGCATCACCCTAAAGAATTATTTTCTTATATGCCCCGCATTCCACACCATCAGAACCAAACTTTTGAAAGACTTGGGATTCTCATAATTTAATTTAAAAAAAGGTTTGCTCTGAAATCTCGGAGGACCGGAGGAAAGCACTAGCCCTATATAATTTATCCTCGAAGATTATTACTAAAATTGTATATCGATTGTTGATTACCTATAGGAACAGGCTTGATAACTTAGTGCTTTAAATTGAGTGATCAATAATTATTGGGTGTTGCGCATTTTTGTCAAAAGAGGAACCAATGAAAGAATTCGTTTATTGGACAATATTTTTTTGAACCTTGCGGAAGCTTACAAGCAAAAAATAAAGCATATGCATCAATGAATCAATTAAACTTTCTGAGTGTGTCATACATGATTTCATTTCCGAAAAAATAGCAGACACGGGTTTTTTTCTTCAGAACACCTTTAAAAATTGCTTCCTTTACCCCTTGATATTGCGAAAGAAACTAGACACAAAAAAGCTTTTTGCATATTGGATCAGGGTTTCAATAAGATCTTCAATCATTCCCGAAAGTGTCGATTCTTGAGGATTGTGCATGAATGATTGATTCTGTGAACTGAATTGCGCAAATCATTGAAAGAGTCCATTATATTCGGCTTTTGAATGTGTCCTCCGGTTAAAATATCATTAAAAAATGTTCTTGAAAGGCAGTCTAATGCGGCCTCACTCAATCCTCCACGTCATACAATTTCATTTATTATTTCAAGTTATTTTTTGCAGGACACGCTTGAAGTCAGAAATGGTCAATGAGAACCCTTTGCTCACTGATTGCAAATTTTGAGTGATATACGACTGTACTTTCGAATGGTCTCTCAACGCATTGGTTTGGCAGTCGGGCTTCTTTTATTTCGGGTCGGGTCGGGAATAGGTTGCTAATTGACCTGGTCTGGTCAGGTCCTGTCACTACAAATCGTGGAGTATTGTGCGTGAACTGCACTGATTCATTCGAATAGCTATCATGCAGTACAAAGAGGCAAACCTAAAGTAGTCCTCAGCTGGTTCTTCATAAGTGCTTCAGCATTTACATTGACTGGATTGGATCTTGTTTGCACGATATAATCGATGCTAAATGCTTTTAAGATGTCAAAAATAAATTTATGGATGTTAGATTATGCCTTTTATCCTACTCTGGCGCGTCCTTTAGAAAAATCAACAGCATTAATGCCTTTTCCTTGCTGATTTTTTCAATTGACTGAATAATCTCCTCGTTGACGAGAGGCGAAAAAGTACCTGCGTGAAAATACAAATTAATAAATAAGGTTTTCAATTTTCTTCTGTCCGAAGAAAACAATTACTCCGGTACCAATGAGGCAATCAGCCCTCTATTGCTCGTGAAAATAATTCTACTTTCCAGATAATCCAAGGCTAACTTTTAATATCTACGAGCTCGAAATTTTCGATTCAATAAAACCAACGTACCGAATGTTTTTCAAGAAAACTACTGGATTGCTTCCTCATCACGAACACATAATCAGAGAGCATTCATGTCCGTCAAGGTTTTCAAATTCCAGTTTCTATGGAAAATTAACTTGGGATAAGTACATCGAGGACGACGCGTCGGAGCAAAAGCAAATTCCAGACCGGATTACGGGCTGCTTCCAGCTTGAAATATGGATGTGGATAAATTCTGACAAAAATTCAATCAATTCTTCA